AAATAGCTAGCCATTTTGCTATGTAAATCCATTCATGAAGATGAACTGCAGCAGTTCATATTCCCACTAGAGTTAGTCCTGCAAAATCTGACAGATATCACTTTATGTTTTGTTTGTACTATAACATTGTCTTTGAAACACACAGACTGGATAGCCAATATTTTGAAATGAAAGCTTAACTTCTGAAACGTACACTCAAAAAGAAAGGACAAAGAGTTTAGATGGCCACAGTTTAGATGGCCACATAGTCACTTATACTCAGGGCCCCAACTGTGATATTCCTTTTTTCACATACATATTTGATCCAGTCTGTGAAAGACTCCTTCTCAGTCTAAATTTTTAAAACTTAAATAAGAATATATTGGACTTATTGTTTGGTATAATACTATACTCTCTATACAATTCATGTAGCCCCATGAATGTCTTGTACAGTCTCTGCAGGGCATGGAAAGAAGGGAAGATGACAGGAACCCTGAGGAGTTTAGAAACAGTACAAGACCAAGAGAACTGGTTACTATGCACACATCTGTAAAGCTCTGCAGGGCAGAGGAACAAAGGAGGAGCTGGAATTTGTAGAGCTCTGAAATTTCACAGGACAGATAAACCCACAGGATGCAGAGGGGCCAGTTATACTGAACTACTGCAAAGGGTCTCTAGAACTTCATGTACTAGAGGTAACTTGCAAAACATACATGCTTATCTGAGCTGTACACAATAGGGAAATACATAATCGTGGTGGAATGGGGAGCCTGCAGAGCTCCTGTTTTCTATATTGGCCCTATATTTAAAAGAAGGAAATTAACCAATAATGCTGTTACTTTTAACGCAAACATCTCCTGGCAAAATTTTATTGATCCAAGCCAAAAATTATTGAAAGGTTGTCGGTGCTAAGATTGCTACCTCTTACTGAAATGCAAACATGTTCACACAATGGAGTGTTCCAATTTAAGAAAACCTAAGCATTTTAAAAAGTCTGGAAATAAACAGTTTAAAGGAAGGAAGATAAATATTCACATATCCTCACAGTTCAGACATTGTCTGAAATAAACATGCATGTGTAAAAATAAAATCATATTGCACATTCCAAAAACAACCTTATTTCAGACTCCTAGTGTCTACCCACCTAACATTTAACAGGAAATGCTTATTGGAACAACAGTTTTAAGAAATCTCTGGTTGCAGATGAAAACACCCAACATTCTCCAAGTTTGTTTGACCCCCTTTCTCTTCTTCCTAGGTAATTTGGTAATGTACTAGCTTCATTTCATCAAAAGGGTATACTGTGGTCTGTGCCCTATTGAGTACTACAGGATTGGGTAAATGCTGTTAAGTATTTTCAGATTTCCCAGCACTGGTCTAACTCTGCTTCCACTGAGTTCAACACATGCTGGCTAGGCCAGTGCTGATCACTTCTGAAAAATCCACCTACAGGTTGTATCTTATATGGAACATTGAGACCCACATTAAAATGATCAACAGGAAACATGGGCATGGAGAGATACAGGGCTATATATTTCCAGGACATATAATTAAGGTGGAAGTAACAGATTTTGTTTTCAACCTCAGAATGGAATATTGGATGAAGAAAAATAGCGGTGTCTCTAGTCAGACCATGAAGGATGAGAGATAATATACTAGGGTCTTTTGGCCAAAATAGGACTGGCAAGAGTTTCAGTTTTGGATATGGAGAAAAATACGCAAAAGGTTGGTTTCTATGGCCAGTAATGAGCAGGTGAACTGAAGGATATTGGGTGGATGGTAAACATGGGGAGCGTGCTAATGATTTTAAGGTTTGTAGTTTGTATACAAAATATACACGTGATAAAGGGTAAGTGTCAGAAGGCTTCTGATTAATAGCGTTAATGCGGGGCAGAGAAATGGTGCAGAATTTACACAAAATAAAAAAAGTCCCAATGAAAATTCTACACACATCTACAATCTTAACAATCTTAACACTACAACCTTTCAATAATTTTTGGCTTGAATCAATAAACATTTATCTAAGGGACTGTATGAACTGTGAGAACACTTGAATAGTTATCTACCTTATATTATTAATGGTTCATTTTCAGACCTTTACATGCTTGAGGGTTATTTAAAACTATAACCCTGTTTTAATTTTAATGTTAAGTAGCAATTGTAGCTTTAGGTAACAATTAATTTCTGTCTCTGTAGTGCAGCACACAATTTAGGAAAGCTCAAAGTATTTTTTGCTTTTTGAGGCAGAAATGTATTGCTCTTTTCCTGTCTCACTGGAAAGACCATGACATATACTAGCAGGGGAGGTTGCATCGCCTCTACATGCCTGTCCAAAACTAACACTTTGTGCTAAAGAGAGAAAAAAATTTAAAAGATTTCTCTGGATACTGATGCATGAATTGTATCAATCTACTCCAACCTAATGAAACACTCCCTTCCCAACTAGTTATGAAAGAAAGTAAAGCTCTAGTCAGTGTGATGGACTAATATCCATCATTATCATATGAAAATCATGGCAAAGCTAAAACACATTCTAAGCCTTTTCGTTTGGCTTCATTACCTCTGAGTTTGCATACTCTGCCTGCAAATGCTTGCACTCATCTTTCAGCTTCTCTGATTCTCTCTCACGCTCCAAAGTCATCTTGTCCATCAATGTCTGAACTTGAACCAGCTCCTTCTTGAGAACAGAAACATCCTCCACACCAGGTCTTTGCAACTGAAAGGCAGCATAACAATTATTACTACTTATAAGGATTTCTAATGCTGACAGTTATGGTTGCAGTATTGCTTCATATTCATTGCAAAAACTTCC